CCTTTTCGGGTTGAGGATGGAGTCAAGCTCAACTCCCAGTCCTACTGCCAGTTCCTGGAAGACACCTTCTTCAAGCAGTGGTACAGGAAGAAGTCTGCATCCTTCAAGAAAACATGATTTTCATGCAGGACAATGCTCCATCACACGCGTCCAAGTACTCCACAGCGTGGCTGGCAAGAAAGGGTATAAAAGAAGAAAATCTAATGACATGGCCTCCTTGTTCACCTGATCTGAACCCCATTGAGAACCTGTTGTCCATCATCAAATGTGAGATTTACAAGGAGGGAAAACAGTACACCTCTCTGAACAGTGTCTGGGAGGTTGTGGTTGCTGCTGCACGCAATGTTGATGGTGAACAGATCAAAACACTGACAGAATCCATGGATGGCAGGCTTTTGAGTGTCCTTGCAAAGAAAGGTGGCTATATTGGTCACTGATTTGTTTTTGTTTTGTTTTTGAATGTCAGAAATGTATATTTGTGAATGTTGAGATGTTATATTGGTTTCACTGGTAATAATAAATAATTGAAAATGGGTATATATTTGTTTTTTGTTAAGTTGCCTAATAATTACGCACAGTAATAGTCACCTGCACACACAGATATCCCCCTAACATAGCTATAACTAAAAACAAACTAAAAACTACTTCCAAAAATATTCAGCTTTGATATTAATGAGTTTTTGGGTTCATTGAGAACATGGTTGTTGTTCAATAATAAAATTAATCCTCAAAAATACAACTTGCCTAATAATTCTGCACTCCCTGTACTTTGCTAGCTGGGGTGGGTGTGAGTTTTGGGAAATTGAGGAATTTACTGTCAATGCTGCTTACTGCTAGTTAGGGGTTTATCGGTAAAACAAAAAGTTTATAAAATTGTTTACAAGTGTAAAAAAAGTTAAAGTTTTAAAAAGTTTTAAAAATGTAATAAGTAAAAAAAGTTTTAAAATGAGTTTTACAAAGTAAAAAAAGCTTTAAAAAGTAAAAAATACATTAAAAAAATGCTCATTACCACTACACCTGGAACAATCTAGAAAAAAAATGATCCCACGCTAAGGTTCAAAATATGCCTTTTGAATTACCAGAGGTGTATTCTTTAATAAATAGTATGTGTTTGTGGGGAAGTTTAAATAACCAACCAGCTAAACTACTCCAAAATGGAACATGGACACAGCGTAAAACTTCAAAGTTAGAAAATAACGGAATGGCTGCGTCTCAAATGTGCCCCTTCAACATCCACATATACCTGGCAAAGGTACATACGGGGATATTGTTGTACTCAGCCGACATTGCTGAGCAACATATAAAGTATTATACAGTCGTAGCATACATAAGGTTTGCAAAATATTCTGTGCAAACCTACTTTGTGTGTCAAAAAGGCAGAAAAAATGCTTATTACCACTACACTTGGTACAAGCTAGAGGAAAAATGATCCCATGCAAAGGTTCAAAATATGCCTTTTGAAATACCCTGGGATGTGTTCTTTAAGAAATGGTATGCCTTTATAGTGTAGTTGTAATATGTAGCCTGCTCAAGTGCTCCAAAGTTGGGCACGGACGTATCAAAACCCTCCATGAAAATTCACACTTAAAAACCTGAACTTGTCACGTCTCTTTTACAGGACTGTAACTTTATCAAATAGTGTCTAATTGGGCATATTGTTTTACTCAGAAGATGTAACTGAGCATAATTTGGGGGGTTTTATGACAGTGGTACATATCAAGTGTAAGAAATACTCTGCCACTTCACTTCCTGGTGAAGCTGGCTGAGGCTTATGGGAGTAAGTGTGAGGATCTGCCTCTCCTCTTCATGCTGCCTGTGGTGCTTTCTCTTTCCCTTTTGTGCCGCAGCTTATGAAGCTGTGAGGAAGTGATTGGCTGTTACTTCCTCCCAGCTGGTCGATACTAGGGGGATCTGGTCATGCTCTTAGAGGGCTGCTGAACAATTGTATTATTTCTGGGATATTGCATATAATGGGTGGGCATCAGAGAGCCGCTATTAAAATGCTGGAGACCCCCTGAACTTCCAGGAGAGATGGGATGTCTGCATCAAACATGTCTAATTATACCAAATCCATATTTCTATGTTTTCCATCTGTTTAACCCCTTGAGGACCAAACTTCTGGAATAGAAGGGAATCATGACATGTCACACATGTCATGTGTCCTTAAGGGGTTAAAAGCACTTCTGTTTTGTTTTTTTACATTCTTTATTTTGCAGTGCAAATGATTACAAAGCTGCTTCTATGCTACAATAGCTTTAGCAAGCACATCAACAACAGAAAAGGTGATACATTGCAATGACATACAGAGAAATCCACTATTTTATGATAATAAGAAATAAAAAGAGACATGTTGGGTTTAGAGAGAAACTGAAAGTAGTGGAGTAAAAGGGAAGTTTAAGGTAGAACAACATATATTTCTGCAATGCTGATGTTACAGAGATCACTGGTATTCTGAGGGTTCAACTGCCAGGATTCACCCTATCCCGCTCATGGGCCAGAAGCGAGAGTCCAGCTCCACACCAGGTTTTTCTTCCCTACTCTCCTTCACAGCTCGTAACAGGCATCTTCGGGTTTCCCCTTGACTAGTAAAAAGGAGGTTGCAGTGAGAAGTTTTTTTTACCACCACTAGTAATGTTGCTGAAATGTAGATATTAGGTAATCCAGTTAGGATTACAATTGATATATCAATTCTCATAGATTAGAATTTCTTTTAAACAGGGCTTTCTTCAACTCTATATATCCCCTGTGTAACATATTAGTCCTCACCTTGCGGTATCCGCGCTCAGCGGCCATGCGTCAGTGTACCTGTCTCCTGCAACATGTTGGTGGACACCGGCCGCTGCGGATCCAAGCCAAATTATAGCCCCATGTCCGCCCACGGTAATGATAACATCGGCATGCTTGTGACGTCACACGGGAGACACGTGTGCACGTTCTTGGGTCAAAGGACGATTTCGGCCAATCAGAAGTGTAAAAGCCTTATTAAAACGCATTTTTACTTCTCCTCATTGCCCTGTCGTGGTTTCCCTTAGTGGTTGTCTGAGAGTGTGTTTCTGAGCGTTTATTTCTGGTTATTGATTTTGCTTAGTTTGACTTCCCTGTATTCTGGTATCCCTGACTTCTGGCTTTCCCTCATCGTTGTCTCTCATTCTGTGTCCCTGAGCTCGGCAAGTATTCTGACTATTCTCTGGTACGTTAAGTCCATCCATTCTAAGGCCCAGTAAGACGTTACCTGTTAGTCCTAGGTGTGATATGGTTCTACGTGCTGGATCAATTTGTAATCCTGACACCCTGTCAATAATTGTACAGCTCTGCAGAATATGTTGGTTCTATATTAATAAAAATGAAGGATAACCTCTTCCATTAATTGTACTTTAGAAGATATAAGAGGTATAAACCATCTTACTGCACATATATAGCTATTGTTTGTGCACAATTTCATGCTTTTCTTTTGGTGAACCAGTAGGACCATTCGTTGACTGTGTACTGAGCGATGAGGAAATATATATACCCTTCTGTTTATTGATTATACACAAAGTTTACTAATACCTACTGTCCGGCTACTATGGTATTGGACCAAACATTTTACTCTACACTAACAATATGGTAGAGGAAGTGTTAATCTTTGTGAGGCCCTTCGCAGGCCTGTATGTAAAGCTATTGTAAAATGTGGGGTTGGATGATCTCGCCCCCACCTCCCTTTTATTGTTGCAGTCAGTTAATGCCTATTAGTCCACTGATTGGGATCTATGGTATTTCATATCCCACTGATGTGTCCCCAGATGTATCCACACATTAGAGTGTACTGACCTGTGAGGGCATTTCTATTCTTCTGTTCAGGGATTGTACGGGAGGTTTAGCAATAGTGTCCTTTGACTCTGGTATCGGAGAAAATATTATAGTCTACACTATTAATATGATTGAGTCTGCTTTCATCTTTGTAAGGCCCTTCTGAGATCTTTGTAGTGATTCCAGTTAATGGGAAATATACTTAATCTATGAGTTTATAGGAGACGTTTTATCTTCCCGCTGAGTTCTAGCAAGTGCTGGCCAGCCACCACATAATTAACCCTCAATTTGCCAAGGGTCCTAAACTGGTCTTTGCCAGCTGGATGCTAGGGCTGCTATTGAGCAAATAGTACTTCAGATGATTAATTCTCTTCCTTTAAAAAAACAAGTGAAAGATCATTTGTGAACGTACGTAATGCTGGATACATTTGGTTCTGTATTTTGAAAATTGATGGTTGGTGGTTTGTGAATCTTCTCAATCCTATACTTTGCATAGTGTTTGGATGCAACGCACTGATATTAATCCGGACTATGAATACACCTGGGCGATTGCTGCAAATTCATTCAACCTACTGAAATCTGTCTGTATTTTGTTATGGTAAATATGAGAATTTTGGAGTCAAAATTCATACATTTTCACCGGATTTTGTCCTTCCGTAAAATTCCAGTGGGGGGGGAATGTGGGGGGGGCGGACTACAGAGCTGGATGGTCGCATTAAAACATGACCTACAGCCTAAAAACAGACCAACAGCGACGGACCTCATCGAGCTTCAGTCCCCTGGAGGAGAAACCATCAATGTCTCATTTGGGGCCTTCTCCGGTGGTGAGTGGGGCGGACGGCCGCTGCCCCGCTATCCCACCAAACAGTGCCTAGTCAGAGCTCCAGCTCCGAGTGGACCAGGCCCAGTTCCCCTTACTATGGACCGGTGGGGGTAATCCCGGTCCTCACCTGACGGCCCCGACCACAGCACCACAACCAAGGCACTGCGACAACATTACCGTGGTCGGCGGCCCGAGCGCAGCAACTAAGATGGCGGCCACCATGTGCGCTAGAGGTAGTGGGACGTCCTGCTCTCTCCCCATGCCAACAGTAACCAGCGCAGCTCCCAGACTCAAACTCGATGGACCTGCGGCCTTCCGACCTCACCAGGCAGAGCGGAGCGGCCCTCACCTGTCCCTGCAGCTGACCAAACCGGCGGTGAGCTGTGAAGGTGCTCCATCCACACTACCGACAAATGCCACACCAAGGGGATGGAACACAGCACAGAGACCATTCCCACTGTAACAGATCCCCCTGTTTTTCGTTTAATCTATTTTTCGTTTAATATATGTTGTAACGGCCTCCTACCATGTTGCCTGGGAACCTTTACCTTTTGTTTTCCTGCCATCATCCACATTGCCCTGCACCTAGGAACAAAGACTGTTTCTAGCCCTTTAACTGTGTTGTGCAAAGAATGGGTACGTTTGATGTGGCACTTCGGATACAGCTGAAGTGCCGAAGTAGTCGAAGTGGCCGCCATTAGACAATCGAACACGTGGCGGTGGCCCTTTTAATGCAATCGAACGCGGTCAGCGGTGTGTGCCGTCAAATCCCTGGAACGGAAATCAGCCACACATTTGAACGAATACCTTCCCCTAAGTCCCATTCGAAGATTCGAACGCACGTTCGAATGGGACTTTGTCATCTTTTTCGTGTAAAATAGACTGCCACTTAACTAATGACCACCGCTGAAACTTAACCCCGTTTTTACTTCGACAGAAGTTGAAGTGCGTTCGACTATTCGAACGCCACCTTCGGATGGGACTTTGTTATTTTTCAAGGCAGAAATAGACCAGCTATTCACACTAGCTCTTGTAAAAGCTTCTTCACTTGGATCACGACTGGATGCTGAGAATCCTCCTCACTGATCGGGAAAAGGACACCCTGCAGTGGTTGAAACCCCTCTGCTACACGGGGTAACCGCTACACCCACCAGAAACAACCGCTCTTGCCGACAAGTGAGGTACTCCTGTACCAAAGCCGACCCCACACTCACCTCACACCCGGCTAATATCACGGAGACCAAGACAAACCCAGCGTGGAGAAAAGCGACAAGTTTTCTCAGACACCATCCTGCACCATACCTGGGAGGACACTAGCCTCCTGAAACATAAACGGGGCAGACCCAACTTACCTCGATGGCAACTCAAAGCTAACCTGCACGGAACCCAACAGAAAGTAAATAAGACGTATGCCCAGATTTCTGACCCAACGGACACTAACCCCCTGCTACACCAGTACAGCAGAGCGGGCATCGGTTAACCAAAAGACTGCTCCCTTACGTGCAATCCCAAGACCGCCATGGTGCCAGCCCCTACCTGCCGTGGCGACGCCAGAAGCCTCGATCAAACAGGGTGATATCCTCATAGAAGCAACATTCCTAACGCCAACATGTACTGTACTCTTATGCTAAGCCACAATAGCCATTACTATATTCAAAAACATACATATCTATAGCCTTAAGACCTACTAGTATTGACATTAATGTGTATAGAATAGAAGTGTTATCATAGACATATCCATGCCAGCTAGTCATACAAGCTATAGCACTAAATGTATACCTCATTAATTAAATAGCTTAAAGTATGATTTAAGTGACTAAGCCTGCTAATATTATAAAATTGTGCCTGTTATTCGTATGTCCCACATGTAAAGCGAGGAAATAGTCTGAGGACTGCTTTTTGGGCACTTCAAGCCTGCCTGTACCATTTTCATGCACTGCAAAAATAAAAAATTTTAAAAAAAATTTAAAAAAATTCCAGTGTTTATTGAATGACCCTGTAGGATATTATAACAGTCCCACTATTACTCACAGCTACTGACTATAAATGTCTAGAACTGTGTTTAACATTTATTATGTGTTATAATAAATTTATAATATTGTTATAAGTTATATTATTAAAGTTATAATGTTTATCGCAGTTAATTTATGAAATTGGTCATCTTTAATTGAATAGCATTGACTCTAAAATAAACGGCACGGCCTTGCCCGTACATTATCTTGTGTGCATTTTTATTTTGTTTAGTGTTTACCTTATTTATAGTTTACTATGTTGCATGCCTTGCACATGTACTTTATATCTCTCATTGTAATTCTTGCGTTTAATGCGTGCTCAAGCAGTCTCTCCAACCTCTCTTCCTGTGATCCTCTCGTCTTTATCTCCTCTCGTTTTCACACTTCTGTCTCCCGTGCATTGTACAGTAATGAGGGGAGGAAGCTGCATGAACACAGACTTGTAGTGCCTGTTCTAAAGAAGAATGTGGTCCTTTTTGCCATCAGCTAATTAAAATACCACAAAGCGTGTGTATAATGCAAAACCATCACTTTCTCATTTCATTTAGGATTTGCAATGGAAAAGAAAGTTATAAAGTTTAAAGCCTAACAAACCATGCAGAACTTTAGGCATTAACACTTTCAGTAACCTATTTCTTTGTAAAAGAACACATACAGTCACGTCAACAAGAGGGTCAAATCATTTCTCCAATTTCTATTCCTACAGTCTTGTTTATTTGTTAGTTGTTCGATTGTTTACCTATTAATCAATGGCTGCTTTTTTATCTTCTTTAAGATCAAATAAACAAGTGTTTATATATTAACTGAATGGCAACCCCTCTATATCTATATAGGTAAACATTCACGTTGACACATTCACACTTAGGCAATTAGCAAACATATTTGGAGCTGGTGAACTAGATTATATCTTGACCTTTGGCCTTCTCGGGAGGGGGGGATAATTAATGTCAGCACCTTGTAGTTTACTTTGTTCTGGCCATCTACAGTTGTCTCATAATATACATTTTTGTTTTTTTTACTTTTGCTGTTTTGACAGTTATTTTGAAACAGGTCGCTGAAACTCTAAACTCACAGATACTACTGTTGCTCAGGCTAATGCTTCCTCGTTAACACAATTGGCACAAAAGGGATTGGCTGATGGGAAGTCTTGTTTAGTATTAAAACTGGTTTAGTGGTGAATGAAAGGAACAGGCACTAAAACCACTTCATTGAGATGAAGCAGTTACAGTATCTACGGTGTCTCTTTAAACGAATGAGTCATGCATCAGATATGCACAATCTGCTCAGTGGAGTTGTGGGTGAAGAGAGGAGAGCGTTTTCCTATGGAGATGACAATAAACACTAATATAATTTATAAAATAAGAAAGCAAGGGAAACATAGATGGACAAATGGAAACTTTAATAGTTTGAGTGCTCAGAGATGTAACAATAAGAAATGAAGGGCTTGAGATAAGGAAAAAGGTGAATGAAAATGAGTCTGGGCACTTTTAGATGTGATTCCTGATGTCTCAAAAGATTTGCCATTCCGGCTCAAAAATCTAAGCCACAATAACGTCAACTTCACCTAACCAACTCTTACTCTCTTACTCACATCAACTGAGTAACCACTGTTGGGTCATTGTGTAGATGTATAGATAGATGGATGGATGGATACAGAAAGCCATACGTAAAATATAAAATATATAGATGCACTTAGTGAAAAAGTGTGAATTAGTGGTAGAACAAACACAAAAGCAAAAGTTTCAAAACAGCTTCTGTCACAAACACACAAAATCTCATAAAAACCTGTCTCTAAATATATTTTGCATTTATTTATGTTTCTCACAAATTCACAACTTACCTAGGTTTTTATATGTGCTTCCCATCCATTATCTTTTATGTTTGCATTCGTTGATTTATTGTTTGTTTTCCTGATTCTGTTTTATTGCAATACTTACTGGCTGCTGTCAAACAGTTTATCATGTTTTTCCAAATACAAATGCATATGTCTATTTTTATACCGTAAGCTATATTTGAAAAATAAACATCACATGTAATGCATTATCAAGGAAGGTGCACTCACAGGACTTTGTATGTTTTATTGTGCAATTATACACCAGAAAATGTGTCTGTTTCAGACCTCTATGGGACTTTTCTCAAGACAATAATATATATATATATATATATATATATATATATATATAAACAGAAAATATCCTTGCACTCAAGCTATATATATATAATACAAAACGAAAACATTTTAATACATACAAGATAGAATTATTTGGTTAATGTATGTTAAAAAAGAAAAAGGATTTTGATATTTGTTTGTATTTTTTATTTGATTAATGTAGTAGGAATAGAGTTTTGATACATAGAAAGATAATAAGAAAAGAGAAGGAATACTCTGCATTTCAAAATTTCAATAAAAACTGTAATAACTGATCTGCTCTCTAAATAGGATTTGTAGCAAAAAGGGCTTAACCCCAGTATGAAAGTTGGCAAATGCTGAATAGACCAGAATTCTATTTTGCCCCCGGTCCTACTATAGTATCCAAATATCGAACAACTTTATATTGACAGTTTCTATTGACTCCCAATGTTGAATCATAGAATTCTATAAGTGCTTGAAGGCTTAACTAGCATTTTTTTCTGTTTTTAGCAGTACATCTATTTTCCATTCTATGCATAACAGAGTAGTGTCTTTAGGGCATGCTGTTTAAATACGAGCATCATCTTATCCACTGATTAGAGTGAATTAGTATATGGAACCATGTCCAGCCACCAGGGCAAGTACATCAGGCAGTCTAGGCTGATTACTATAGGTTCTGTTCTGATGGAACTACACAATGTATACTGTTTTCTTTCACCAAGCAGTTGATTACGAACATTGCAACATAGTTTCATTGAGTTTAGTTGTCAGTATAATAATTTGTACCCAGTCCCCGACTGTTCCTGCAGGCTGAAATCACCTTTAAAGCGACACTATAGTAACCAAAACAACTTTAGTTTAATGAAGCAATTTTGGTATATAGAACATGCCCCTGCAGTCTCACTGCTTAATACTCTGCCATTTAGGAGTAAAATCACTCTGTGCACTCCAGTCACAACTCCCTGCATGTGACTTACACAACCTTCTTAAACACGTCCTGTAAAAAGTAATCTAATGTTTACACTTCCTTTATTGCAAATTATGTTTAATTTAGAATTTAATTTCTCCTGCTCAGTTAATAGCTTGTCAGACCCTACTGGAGCCTCATGTATGTAATTAAAGTTCCATTTATAAAACAGGAGATAAAAACGTTTAAAGTAAGTTACATCTGATTGAAAATGAAACCATGTTTTTTAATGCATAAACAGAAACAAAAGGGATTTAACCCCTAAATGGCAATGAATTGGGGAGTAAAACTTAAGAGGCATGATCTGTACATTTAAACTGTTTCATTAAGCTAAAGTAGTTTTGATGACTATAGTGCCCCTTTAAATAATGCAGCTTACCTAAATGTCTCTTTGGATCACTTTATTTACATTTGTCTAGTATACTAGACTGTTTTATCTACTTATTGCAGGTGTACTTTCTATGATACCAGCAGTCCAA